CCTGGGCGACAGAGCGAGACTCCATCTCAAAAAAAAAAAAAAAAAAAAATCTTCACAGGATTTCAGGGTTGGAGGGCGTCAAGAAACCTTTTGCCCAGTGAGATGACTATTTTCTACACCAGAAAGAAGCCCACACCGGCAATAACACAACCAATATATTTATTTGTTCCCAATGTGAGAGCAAGACACGGAACCCTATAGCAAGAGAAGAGGGAAAGAAAGAGAGTATGAAAGCCAAATTAGTGTCATGGAAGCAATGACATCTTGCTACACAATGGGAAGTCCTGAACCTGCTTATTAAAGTCTCGTTGCTCACAATAGAACACAGACTATAAAAACGCCACGGGGAACCGTTAATTAAATATTAAAAGATCAAATAGTTTCAGTCCCATTAGTTTGTATGTAATTTACATTCTCGAGTATAAATTTAGAGATAATTCCCCATCCCAAATCGCTTTCAACTTTCTGATAAGGTATCTGCAAATATAGAGTCCTACAGAGAGTTTAAAAATATATTTCCCCATGTGGACTAAGTATTGTTCCTTTCATAAGAAGTTGCTTTTGAATATCAGTCTCCACAACCAAGAAGATTATCATAATATACCTCTAGTTATTAGCCTTGAGGGGTACTTTTGTTCAGAGAAGCCACTGGGCCTTTTTTAGATATGCCTAAGCAATAATAGCAGATGAACTAAAACCAAAGGAAAAGGTTATCCAAGCAGACTGATGGCAAGTGGTTTGGATCTTTGTTTCTGTGACCTTTCATTCATTTTCCAAAGTCAGAGGCAGTGGGCTGTGGTAGAAAGCATCGAGAGTTCTGGGTTCCAGACCTGTCTTCTAGTTCTTGCATGGCCCAGAGGTTGCTGGTTGACCTTGGCACCAAGTCATACCTCATTTGTGTGCATCAAAGGTTGGATTCAATATTCCTCAAGACCCTTCTAGTGGGAGCTCCTCAGCTAAATCAGAGGCACACTGTGTCAGAAAATAGATAATAGGTTGGAAGCCTGAGGAAAGGAAGTAACATCCCAGAGTGACCCATAAAGGATACAGGAGGTTTAAGGGGCCAGATATACTTGTTTTTATGATCCAGTATTGAGAGACGTGTTCTCATATATGAGGTTATGATGCTAAAATTGACTTGTTGGTCAATAGTTAATTTATGTGTCAGTCACCTCTTTGTAAATCTAATTTGTAATTCATATAATTGAGCTTCTTTCTGATTATGGCATTGGCTGTTTACTCCTGGCACTGGAGAAATTGAGCACTATCCTGCCACAGGGAGCCAGTGAGTAACTTTCCTTTCTAGCTTAAAAAATTTAGACAGGAAGAAACCTATATATACAACAAAAGTTAAATAAATTGTAGTATATTCCCATAGTTGGATATTATAAAACTATTAAAAATTGTATTATGGAAGTATGTTATTGAGATGGGAAATAATAGTTGGCATATAATCCCATTTTTACACAAGAAATTGTGTATATGTAAGTGAAAGAAAAAAAGAATATGCACCTAAATATATAAGAGCAGATTTAATACATTTTGGTTAAATTTGGGCAATGGTAATCTTTATTTTACTTTGCTTATTTACATTTTCTAATTTTTCTTCAATAAACCACCTCCTGTGCAATAATTTTAAAACATTTTAATAATATAAAATACCTGACCACGTAATTCCTCCACTCAATGACTACCCTTCTGAATGTACAACATATACACTTTAAATTCTTACTCCATGAGAAGTTGATTTCTTTTTAATTGAATCTAATTATAAATTGGGAAATTAGTTCGAGCCCTAGCTTTGCCACTTGCTACCCTCTTGGGCAAGTCAGTGGTCACTAACTACTGTGACATTGAGCAAGCAACTCTCCCTTCTCTGAGCCTTGTTTCCCTTTGAGAACAAGTGTGTTGATTATCTCACTGGTGCTCAAAATGTGGTCTCAGGACAGAGAGCATCAATATCACCACTTTATGGAAATCTAGAATATAACGTTTTGCATGGTAAAGATTGAGAAGCATATGACTATATCATCTGTAGATCTCATTTCAGCTTCAAGAAGTCATATTTTATCATGACTTCTTCATAGATTTGAATCTTTGAGACTCTTGATCTTATTGAATTATCCCTTGAGAAAATGAATTAGCTTCCTTTTTACTGCTACAGACCCTATATGTCTACATTTATATCTTACCCTGAAGATCATGAAGAGGTCATGGGCATCTTAATGTTCTTTCCTACGACCAATTACAGAAAAGTGGATGTAAAGTCAAGAAAAAAGAGAAAGCATTTATAACAACAATGAGATGCCATTTATAAAATATTGATAGATGTGTTATGCACTCTACTAAGAACTTTTACAAACTTAGCTTATTTAAATTTCTGTATAAAATTGGTGTTTTATCTATGCTTTGTAGATGAGGAAATACATGCATATACATACAATATCCCGCCCCCCCCCAACACACACACATTTCTCTCCAGTTTTTTTCAACTACCACCCATTAGCAGACTTGTGGTTTATAAGCTAGTAAAGCTGGATCTGTTTTTTAAGTTTATTGTTATAAATTTCAGTTAAGCCAACAGTTGTATTTCACTTGTGTGAATGCACATTTATTTTACTCACATGGCAATAAGAGCTCTTCATATTATGTCTGTTGGTCTGAAGGAGGGCAAAGGCTGAGTACCTTGGGAAAATCTCCCTATTCATCCCCAGAGTCTTCAGGTTTACTTTAGATTCACTAATAATTAGAAGATTTTCCCTCACAAGCTTTTGAGAACTTAAGATTGTTTTCGATACACCTAATGAAAGAGATATTCTTCAAATTTATTGGAATCAGTCATTGAAAACACTTATAAAGGAGCCATAAATTCTATTGTACATGGTTAGGAGAGTGTTGGACTTGGAGAAAGAAGATCCAGAATCAAGACCCGGAATCTAGCTGCAGCTCTTCCACAAACATTATATGACTTGGACAGGTCACTTCATTTTTCTCAAATTTCAATATGTTCATCTTTAAAACAAGGATGGTAAGCCCTCTCCTGCCTGCCTCCCAGTATTGCTCTGGGGAATCAAACAGATAAAGGATGTGTGTTTGCTGTATAACCTACATGGTGCAACACCAATACAATCATCATGTGTAGTGGATTTGGTCTCTGTCAGTTTAGCTAAGCTGAAGCTACATTTTCTAGAATTGCTCTTTTGGGTGTGTTTCCCAATTAGGACTGCCAACAATAGACACCTGTGTAATATTCAAAAGGCAGAATTGAAACATAAGTTGTTTTCCCTGTTGAAGATCAGCGCAGGTCACCATGCACTGTGACAACTCATGTTCATGGCAACTGATATCCTGGTTTACCTGATGGCAAGGGGTAGCCCCTGTACCTGCATCTCCTTCCATCATGGTCAGGCTTTCTTTCTAAGATTTTCCTCTTCCTGGGCTGGCTAAGTGTGTAGCTCAGTAATGGAAGCACTAGCTTCTACAAGTGACCTCACATCATCAAGGTTAAACTTGGTGGGAGACAGACATAGGTTCCAGTTTTTCCTCATAAGTTAAACATTGTCACCAGAAATTCCAGTTTGTCCATGCAATTGTTTTCTTATTTCTTTTTCCCTATTTCCTCTTCACAACTGCCAACTGGTTGGCCTATTCTAACTTCAGGCCCAACACCAGATTCAGAGAAGACAATTTTCCATAGTCTCAGCCAGCTCTCATAATAAATCAGCTCCCAATAATAAATCTCCTATTCTATATCACAGTGTGTTCTTCTATCATCAAACCCTGACATCATCAATATCAAAGATAGCACAACTCCAAGAGATGCTTTGATTTCCTTTGCAGCTATATCACACAGCTTAACTTTGCATATTGAATAAAGTTCACATACTTTGGAAAACAAACCATATGCTCTACATATGCAGAAACACTCACACAAACACACATATAGTATAGCACCTACTGAAGCATCTTGCACATAAGAGTATATGCAATGTTTAAACACAGACTCACACAGGCGCGCACACACACACACACACACACACTCTCGTTAAGTTGCTTTAGTTAAAACTTTACCTAAACCAAAGATATATTTTGAAAGCAACCAAATCAGGATTTATTAATTAAAGCTTTGGAAAAGTTACAAAACCCTGGCCCCAATTTTTTATGAGAATGAGTTGAAATACATTTTTTTCCAAAAAGAGATCTCCCACGGTCACATGAAAATGAGATGTTCTCTGTTGCCATAGTGTAAACTCCCTGATTTTGCCCCCAATTGATCATAGCCCCTAAGCTAACCATGACTGTGCTAATAAGAATGTTGAAGGATTGGAAAGAGGATCTGTAAGTAGGAGGAAGAGCTCAAGAGGGAAAGGTACTAGAAACCTATGAAGCACTCTCCACTAGATCCAAATGTTAAAAGTTAAAAATACTGTTGTTTACCATCTAGATATACGAGCTCCCTCCTGCTTACTTACCCATCCATCTACTTTCCCAACTCCATTGCGCAGGTAAAAGAGCTCAGCTCCAGACGGTAGCTGTAGATTTGAGATTTACCGCTACCTGCCCCCACATCGTAATATGAGCACCCCATTGTAAACCTTAGAGAGTCAGTGCATCCTTAGCAACCCTCTCCACTCCATTATCCACATCTTTTCCACACAATGAATACCCTCACCGGGTTAACAGCTTTGTATTCTAGCTACTATGGTTCTCTCCTTACAGAATATTAGTTCTTTGAGATCAGGTTTAGCATAAACACAAACTGAGGAACCAAAGAAGGAAGCTGGGGAACATACTTCTTAATACTACCTCTGGAATCTAAAATAGATCTTTAAATTCTCTAAAGTTCGGATCCTTCATCTTTAAATAGGGATAAGGATACCTACTTCATGATTATTATGACGATTACATGAAACAAATGTGAATACGCTTGGTAAATATGTGATACACAGAAGGATTTTAAGATGTTTTATGGTGAATTTTTATGTAGTATTTAAGGGAACCAATAAATTTACCCGTGTAGCAAAGTACTTCCGTGAGATATAAGGCTGATGATAAGGATTGGGGTAAAGAGTAGATTCAGTCACACTTGACTGCCTTGAAATCTGTCTTGGCATCGGGTCCTTGCCTGGGTCCTCTTCTTCCATCGATAGGTGGTCAGTCTCAGAGGGCTGGTCATCTCCCTCTTGCTTCAGGGACACAGCCTGGAATCCTTCAAAACTCCCAATTGTTGACATTTCTTCAGCCTAAAACAAGGGCAGAAAAATCTCATTGGAAAAAATGTTGCCTGTATACCTGTGTCCTAGCTATGGCAAAACAGAATATGATGAGCAAATGGCATTCCTGAAACTTAAAAACATCCCTCATGTTAACTAAACAGAGGCATTGGTGGATACAGCTTCATAGCACAGATTTCTAAATACCATCCATAATCCTGCAAGGTCATTTACCAGAAGAGTGAAGGAGAGACTCTCCGGACAGAGAAAAGGAGTTTGCAAGTAGTTTCATTTTCTCATCTTTAATCCCAGGAGACAGGAACCTGAGCAAGAGAAGGGCTGTATAAAATAATTACCAGACAATTTCTCTTCAAAATTGCATAGCATTTTTGGTTGAAAATTCACCAGACTGAAAGCTTAAGAGTTAAAAGCAATGGTAATGCATTTTCTTTTGTGCTTCTTGGGTAATAATAGAGCATAAGAGCACTTAGAACTGAACATGTTTTTAAACTGAAAAATTCAAATTCTAAAAATTTATTCTAAGGAAATAATTTAGATGAATACCCAAAGACTCACACGCATGCACCTGCATACACGCACACACACACACACACACACACACACAGTTGTTCAGTTGGGCATCGTGGCTCATGCCTGTAATCCCAGCACTCTAAGAGGCTGAGACTGGTAGATCCCTTGTGCTCAGGAGTTTGAGACCAGCCTGGGCAACATGGTGAAACCCAGTCTCTACAAAAAATACAAAAATTAGCCAGACATGGTGTCATGTGCCCATAGTCCCAGCTGCTCGGTAGGATGAGGTGGGAGGATCACCTGAGCACAGGAAGTGGTAGTTGCAGTGAGCCAAGATTATTCCACTTCACTCCAGGCTAGGCAACAGAGCAAGACCCTGTCTCAAAAAAAAAAAAAAACAACGAACTTTGTTCATTACAACATCCCATCTAATAGAAAAATATACCACGTTATATGTAAAAGAAAAACACACTAATTTATATCTCATCGAAGAACACTGTGTATAAAAATAACATTAGACATTCATGCAACATTGTGTCTAACACCAAAAAATAAAAATAAAAAAGTATCCATCAGTAAGAAGTTGACTAAATATGTTGTACCATACTATAAAATACAAGTGTGAGTGTATATTTTCATCACCAAAAAATATCCAAAATATATTATAAATGGAAAAAAGTAAGTTACAAAATATTATAAATAATATTATTCCAATTTGTTAAAATAATTTAGAAAGAGAAGAAAGATAAAAGGGAAAGGAAAGGAAAGGAAGAAGGAAAGGAAAGGAAAGGAAGAAGGAAAAAGGAGAAAGAAAAAACAAAGAAAGAGAAAGAAAGAAAGAAAGAAAAAGAAAGGGAAGAAAGAAAAAGAAAGAAAGGGAAGAAAAGAAAGAAAGGAAAAGAAAAGAAAAGAAAGAAGGAAGGAAGGAAGGAAATGTACCTGCATATGTATATACAGGCATACATGTATGATATAACGGATTTAAAAACATCTAAAAAGAGGGCCTGAAAAGAAGTAAAATAAAATATTAACAATAATTATCTCTAGATGACAGCGTTAGAGGTGATTTTTATTTTTGTTTCCATGTCTGTGGGTGCTAGTAATGATCACACATGGTTTAAAATAAATAAATATAATAAAGTGGTTTCTATTTTGTACATACAAAGCAAAGCAAAATAAAATAGAAGGCACATGGTAGCTTGGCAAAATGTGCACTCAGATCATTTCAAGCTGACAGTGAGCATGTTATCCTAGAAAGTTTCATGTCCATTTTCAACATGAAAGTAGGAATGCCATATTATTCTCAGAGTCACCTCCTTGTTCTTAAACAAAAGTGGTTTTTAATCAGTTTCTTTGGTTCTTGTGAAACAAAGGAAGGTGAGAAAAAGCCCCTAACCCCAGCAAGCTTCCACTTTTGAAACTGGGATTAACTAGGGTATTCATAAGCGGTAAACATAGTATGATCCTATAATTTATTAGCTAATTTTGGATATTTTGGCATGAAAAGGGTGCTACTGGCAATTATGTCAGGATGATAGGAGTGAACTGGACTCTCTCAGTCAAATGTGGATCTATATACATGTTTGCCCTGAGGATTTGAATGTAGGAGAAAACACAGCTAAAGTAACTTACAAGTGGAAAGCCTTACACAGTTTGCTTTACATGTTTTAAGATTTATATGTTTTCTTATCCGATCTTTCCAGCAATCCTAGAAGAGCTACTTACTCTTTCCCCGTCTTTCCGAGGAACATAGAGTAGATGGGAATCACCCAGGGTCACACTTTGATAGTCATAGTAGCAGCTGGCCTCCCAACCGTGCCCCCAGTACAGCACACCCAACGTCTGTCATAAGGCACCATATCATGCGGCCTTATGACAGAAAAGATGTCTCTGAGCTTTTAGGTAATTTTTTAAAGTTAGGTGTGCAAAAGGTAGAAATTGGTCTCTGAGAAAATGAGGAATGAAGCAGCAGGAGAAAGTGTGTGTGTGTGTGTGTGAGAGAGAGAGAGAGAGAGAGAGAGAGAGAGACAGAGACAGAGACAGAGATAGAAAATAGACAGAGAGGAGGCACTCTGGCTTCCCTGTCCCTGGCAGCTACATGCTCTATGTATGTAGGTCTGCCACCTTTATCACAGTGGGTGTTGGAAGGAAATGCATTTCTAAAGTTCTCTATAACCTGTGAAGGAAGGTTTGTGCCATTGGGGAAGGAAAGCCTGCTTCTGTATTTGTGCACTCTGTGAACACACGCCTAACAACAGACATCTGCGAAAGGCTCCTGTGCCTGGAAAACAGAGGGAGGATTTAATTAGCACCACTTCCTCTCCCTCAGGCTGTCTTCTCTGGAAACACTTGGGGAAGCTCTGCGCTCTGAGACCAAACTGTTTGAGATCCAGGAAAGAAGGAAACTCTCAGCTCCGTTTAAATTCTCACAGCCATAAATAGTGGGGAAGTTGAGCCCAGCTATCCCAATCCAGAGTCATTCCAGCTCTATTCGAGTCACAGGAACATATTAGAAGAACAATAAATAGAACTTCCTCAACTTCCCCAGTATGAGAAGCGTGCTGCCCATCTACACATTCCACTCTATTTCTCACGACCTCTGGCCCCGTTCATTCCCAATTCAATAACAGGTGTTCTTCTATCCCTGCATAGGCTATACTCTATGAAATGCTAAAGGTACATTAATACCAGTAGCAGATCCAGTCAAAATCAAATGTTCCATTGCTTTCACATAGATCAATCATCCCCTGCAACAAGCTCATTGGGAATTTTTAGAACTAAAAAGATTTACTGTTCTGTAATATTCCCCAGTAAATTTATCTTCATTTAGAGAGTAAAGGCAGCACAATTTCATAGGAAAACAAAGGGTCAAAACTTAGAAATAAGCAAATGATGTTCACACTTTTTTTTTTTTTTTTTTTTTTTTGAGACAGAGGCTTGCTCTGTCTCCAGGTTGGAGTGCAGTGGCGCAATCTCGGCTCACTGCATTCTCCGCCTCCCAGGTTCAAGCGATTCTCCTGCCTCAGCCTCCCTAGTAACTGGGACTACACGCCATGTCACCACGCCCAGCTAATTTTTTGTATTTTTAGTAGAGATGGAGTTTCACCATGTTGGCCAGGATGGTCTTGATCTCTTGACCTTGTGATCCGCCCGCCTCGGTCTCCCAAAGTCCTGGGATTATAGGCGTGAGCCACCTTGCCCAGCCGATGTTCACACTTTTTAATGGAATCTTCTCATTCCAGGGAATTCATGTAATAAAAACTATCTTAAAGAAGAAAAACACTACAATATTAATTGCTTATTCTGAGTCGTGATGAAAAATTGAAAACCAACTAAACACGTAATGTTCAAGGAATGGCTAAGTATATCCAATTGGTATTGTACAGGCATTTAAAATAGCGCACAAACATTGCAGTAGCACGAGAATAAAGGTTGTACCTTCTTGAGTGAAATAAAGCAGGAAACCAAAACATTTTATCTTGCAATGTTCCATTGAATAATTTCACATTGGTAAAGACTAGAAAGAAAATACCTGCATTTATTGAAGTAGTGGATTGTGCATCAATGTTTGCTTTTTTAAAAAAATTAAATGGCAGTAGCCTTAATAAAGCCTTAAAGAAGTACTACCTTGTCTTTGACCAGACAATAGAAATACTATATTTCTCAGCTGCCAGAAAATTCACAAGTAAATTTAATACAGTATTATAGTAAATAACTTATTTCCAGATTCTGGTCTAAGTATAACTGTTTCCATTTATAAGTAACTGCGTCTATCTCTGTGAGACTTTTTCTAATAATATTATAGAAGCATGTAGGGTAGAAATGATAGCTTAAAAGTTATTGTCTAATTCAACTTTTTTATTTGGCAAATATTGAAACAGACCCCCTGAGATGAAGGTTGTCCATGGCCACACAGCTCCATAGCATCAAAACATGCTACCAGACCTCTAGTTTTCTGGACTCCAGTTCACTGCTCTTTCCTACTCTTTAAGTTGCTGCATTTAGAAGAAAAGCAAAGCAACAGCCATTAGACTTATGCACTGGCAAACTGGAGACACTTTTGCCAAATGTCTGAGGCCAGTCAGTTCTGGGCTCAGAGATACAGCTTCCACGAAACAGGACCAATCCCCAGCTTCCCGTGCATCCGCAGTCCCACAGCGAGTGCTGCAGGCTGAATGAAGCCTTTCTCTTTCCCCCAGAACCAGGCTGATGAATCCTTTAGGTGCAAGAAGCACAGTGCCTGAGGTTCACAAAATTTTTAGAAGTCCTTGAAATATTTTACTTTCTTTTAAAATGAGAAGGAAAAAAATAGCTTTTAGGGTCACATAAAATGTTTTAAATTTTTCTCACATCAGAAAAAAAAGTAAAATTTGTAAGGCACCTCAAACTTATTATATTTTGCCTGAAAGAGAAAAAACACATAATATCGGACAATTTAAAGTTATAGAAACAGTAGTTTTAATATTGATGTTGTTACAGTGGAAAGACAAAAAGGTTTG